TTTTTTTTTTTAACTCTCTTCATCCTTGACAGATTTTCTCCCCGCTTCATTTCTGCTGTAAAGATGTTGAGTCCTTTTCAGCCGTCATGAATTTACTTCCTCTGTGACAATAAACCTTGTTACTTCAGCCTTTGGGAATTTCTCCAGGTTAAACTGGGGTAATAACAATAGGTAGCCTCGCGACACCGAGGCCACCAGTAAGTCATAACTGATTGCAGATTGTGCTTTTGCTGAATAATATCCAGGAAAAATCTTGGCTACAACATCAAGAGTGTTGCAAGTCCCCAGAGAGTTTTTCTTTTTGTAAAAGAGCCTGAGGCTTTGAGGTGCAGTAGGGGAGGTGCGTGGTGTCTCACCCCCAAAACTACTGTGCTTATATGTACGTTTGCAGTCCAGCTACAGTGAATTGGCTGTGGTATTAAATAAAATTAAATAAATGTTTAGTTATTTGCTCTTCTTTTTTGTTCTGTTTATATTAAAAAAAACCAACTTGTTATTGGCTTAACTTATTAGACAGATATTGAGCAGGACATCTCCAGGTCAAAACAAATCATTTAATTTTTCTTTTCTTTTATATGATTTGTCCTAAGAAGGCATAACACTCTGCTGGCTGTGAGCAAATTTTGCGGATTTCCAACTTGTGTGTGTGAACGTGAACTCGAGAGAGAGAGAGCATGAGCGATGAAAGGAGAGAGCTGATAGTGATGCTCTATTGAATACAGATGAGAGAGAGGCAAGCTGAATTCTGATCAGGCTTTCTTCCACTCTTCCTTCCGCTCGCTCTCTCTTTTTTCTGTCTCCCGCTCCATCCCTCTGAGTGAAAATACTTCAGAGGACTGTGTCTTTCTGAACCAAGGGGGAAGTCAGTAGGTCAACCTTTCAAAGTCAACGTCCAGGCCCTCCTCTCAAAGGTGCAGCTATTACAGGGAGGGCCACCCCCTCCCCGTCCCTGTAGAATTAACAAGCGTGTGGATTTTGATGTTAGAGATATGGAGCAGTACTTTAGAGGAAATCTGATCCTGAACTGAAAATCCTGTTTCATGTTTAACAACACTAGAGGCCGAATTTGTTAACATTTTTATCAGCGCTCGCTCGGTACCTGTGAAAATTTGTATTATTATTATTTTTTTTCCCTTTTGAGAAACTCCGGCAAGGTTTTAACGCATTCCAAGGGCCTCAGGTTCATCAAAGTCAGTCAATAAAGTAATCTGCAACTAGTCTCCTGGAAAAACACATTTCTACATCAGCTGAATGTCAAAACTGGTATTCAGCTGACTTCACCTATAACTTATTCAGAAGACCGGGGTGAAGCGAAAGCCTGATCTCAGAAAATATCTAGCCAGGATGGCAGCTTGGAGCTTAATTAGTTGAAGAAAGCATGTGCTTTTTTTCCTCCTCCCCACCCCCCCACCCCCCTCCCTCGCTCAGAATACAAATGATTTTTGGTGAAAAGTCACCGGGGTCGTCTCACCGCCTCATTAAAACCGAGCGAGGATGGGAAAAAAATTAATGGAGCCAAACACCTTCAATTTAATACGTAGGAGGGTAAACTAATACAAAGTGCCTTGCTGTAGTAAATATCCCCACTTAAAGTTTTGTATAGTTTGACTTTCTCAGTAGTCGTAGAAAGATCAGCGTGAAGATGCAGGAGCACATCGACGCGTCCGCAGCGTAATGGTTAAAACCACGATTGCGACGCGATTAGGTTTCGGCATTTGAAAGCGTCTTCGAATCCTTTTTGTAACAGGGTCACATCCTCTCGGATAGCAGCGAACTGCTTAGGACTCAGATGAGTGTAGACACCACAGTCCCAACGTGATTTGTCCTTCGATGTGATTATCAGCAGCGTGATTGGTTGTAAACCCCGTTGTCACGGCAATGATTTCAGCCTTGATGATGAAAGCTCATGGGACACTGATCCGTAGCATGCAGACACACACACACACACACACACACACACACACACACACACACACACACACACACACACACACACAATCGCTCTGTCTCACTGCTAACCAGTCTCATTCCCCTTTGAGAGAGAGGCATTAGTCGGTGAGATTGAACTCTTGCATGTGTGTGTGCGAGTGTGTGTCGCTGTTGTCTGTCTTCTTACTTACCCAGTAATGTACAAAACAGGAATCTGGGGAAAGGCTCAAGCTCCACTGAATTGTACTTGACATTTTATTCTTTCTTTCCTGATTTTTTTCTCTCTCTTTCCCTCTCACACCATACCCTGGACCCCTTTTTTCTGTTTCCGTCTCACAGCTGTTATTAAACCACTTTGACTGAGTTAATAACATCTGTGTCACACGCACACACACAAAAGCAAGTGTAACTGTGCCTGTCTGCTACAGTACCTTGTGCAAACCAGAACTGCAAGTGTGCATCTTGGTGTTATCCGTCTAAATACACTAATTATTATACTGGGTTTGGTGTACCTGTACACTTTTTTTTTAAAGATGGTAAAATGAAAATGAAAAGCAGAACAGAAAGACTTAATATAAAGATTTGAGTGAAAGATGATCATGGAAACATTGTGTTATTTAAAAGCTAAACAAAGAAACAATCAATAATTGAACTGAGCAGACCTCTCATTTTGAAATTTATGTAAGTAAATAAGTTTTATGTTTGAAACCAAAGTCGTTTCCAATAAAAATAAATGGGTTCTTAGAGTTTTCTCTACCCACATTTACAGTCTTTACATAAAATAACACAGCAGCCTGCCCTCCAACAGCAGTTCAGATTAGCACATTTCTAAAATGTCTTAAAGACAGTCGTAGCTGACGCTTTCCTGAGGTCATTTGGAGGTTATTCCAGAGTCGTAGCACGATGACAGAATAGGTGTGACCCGCCCTCCCCATTTTGATATCAGGATTACGAAAGGATCTTGAGGGAATGTATGTATTCAGCACATTGACCACATATGCAGATGTAAGACTGTTTAAGGCTCTAAATGCGAACACTTTCACATTTAGTGTATTCTGTAATGCATGGGGAGCCAGTGCAGGACTGCTTTGTCAGTAACCTGCAGCAGCATTCTGGACAGAAATGTTCATGATGCACACGCAGGGCAATTCTCTTTAGCAATGCTGCTGGAATATGTGGTGTATGGTTTGGCTTTCTCTCACTAAGATGAGCTTCCCTGTCTATGTTGCACCAGAGGATGTTTTTATCATCAAGCATTAATGATGCCTTCATAGATGTGCAAGTCACATCCATGTGCAGAGATCCATACTTCCACAGATGCTGGATTTTGAGCGTTTTTGATGGTTTCTCTCCTTTTTAGCCAGTCCCTGATTCCTGAGTCCATGCACCCCAAAGATTTGTACTTCCCAGCTTTTCTGTGCATTCTTTATGTGGTTATGTTTATCACATCTGATCAGTGGCCTTTGCACATCATTGTGTTTCCTATGTCCTTTGGATCCGATTAAGGGGAACAAACTGAGCAGACACCATACACGAGACATCTATGTATAAGTTACCTGGTGGAGAGGGAATCTTATATGCTTAAGGCCACTACAGGACCCTGGACTCAAGTCCACATCAGGTCATTTTGTGTATCATTCCTCTCCCTTCCTGCTTTCCTGTCTGCGCTGTATTCGACTTTCAAGAAAAGGCTGAAAATGCCAAAAAAATATATGAATATATATATAAAAGGCAGACAACAAGCCAAGGCATTTAATTAAAACATTGCACACCAGCTTCTGACATTAGCCAGATCTACACAAATTAAAAGCTCGTAATCCTGGCAGACCTTTTATCAAACGCAGTGCGTACCAGGTCGAGGGAAGTGGTGCAGCTGTATTGGCTCTACTTGTTTTTCCTTTGCCAAAGGAAGAGCTCGTCTAGAGTTCTAGATGGGTCCTGCTTGAGTTCCAGAGAAGAAGTACAACTAGGTCACCTTTTCACCTGCTAGATGAAAAGGTGACCCAGAGAGCAGCTAAACTGGAGCAAGCACATTTACAACTGACTGAGAGTTGGCCGGAGAACAAAGCAGACCACGTTCACGTGTGAGCTGGCCAACGGGATGAATATTTGGCTATCAGCAGATGGCCAAATCCACTTCTGTTTGGTGAGGGCATTTGTGTATGTGCGTGAGAGAGAGTGTGATTTTTGACTTTTTTGGTAAAGTGCAATTGCCGCTTTGCCCTGGTGGTTAAGCTGGCTACATGTTCACATTATGCCACCTTACAAGGTCATTTATTAGCATCTCTTGTTCGTCTCCCTGCCTGTTTGTTGTTTAAAAGCCAGGAGAGCCACCTTTTTGATTTATTTCAGTGTTTTGACTGATGGATATTGTTCAACTTTTAAAATAATTTTATTATTATTATTATTTAGGTCCTATAAGATGACGGTGAGGTCCTACCATCTCTGGAAAAGGCATAAATCCAAATTGGGATACAGAAAGTTTTATTTTCTGAATATAATTACAAGATGATGGATTTTAAAGTTCTGTCCTTAAGTGAAGCAAAGAGCCCAGACTCTTTTTCTCTCTTATTCCCTCTCATTGATTGCCTAACCATGTACCAGCTTTGTCTTACATTACTGTGAGACAGAAGTAGTGCTTCCACTCTCATTTATAATAAGTACAGCACCTCGACCCCCCAAATTGGTTCTTTGTCAGGTACAGAGGAATCAATGTACGAGCGTGATTCTGACCTGAAACCACGCTGCTGAGCTTGAAAAATCCCTAGTTTTGTGTGGATATAATAGCCGACAGTATAAAAATTCATCAGCTGCTGCCCACAGATTGTGATTTCCCTTTTTTTCTTTCCTCATGTCCTCCTCTAGCCTCTTTTAATATTGATCAGATACACATTTATCTTTGCCTTTCCTCTTGCATCAATATTTTCCTTTGGCCCCTACACACACTCTCCAGTGTTTGAGTTTTACTTTTTAAATCTTTTTTCTCTCTGAAGCTGATTAGATTGATTAGATCTTGCCGTCATGCATCTTGCGGTTTTGCGTCTAAATAATGTCTTTGTTTCTTTCATCAGGGCCTGATGATCCTCTTACAGAACCTTCCCACGATGCACTGGGGCAACGAGGAAGTGAGCGTACTGCTGGCTGAAGCCTACAGGTTGAAGTTTGCCTTCGCTGATGCGCCCAACCACTACAAGAGATGATAAGCAAGGGGCGGGGGAGGGGACTCCCTGTGTTCCTCCTTTACTCCCCCCAAAGTGGTCTACTGAACTCAAAGGCCTCTATTCCCACACAGGAAGGAGCTCCCTTTTCTTAACCTCCTTTTCCCTTATTGGCCGGTGGGCCTTTCAGCTACTAAGAGATTTTTGAATCAACCAATGACTGCGAGGATGTGCGGTGTAGCATTCTAACATGTTGATGTGGAGCCTTTTTTTTTTTTTTAATGATTATTGTGTTCTCTGATTAGCTCTGAGCAGTGCAGAGTCCTGTTCTTTATCACTGCAAGTTGACAGCTGAGAGATCAACCTAAGGCCCGATGCAAAACCAGGAGCTGTTGCTCAGCACCGCCTGCGGTCTGGCTCCGAAAAATGCCTCTTTCTGCTAATTATTTCCATAACCATGGTAATACATAGTTGATTTTTTTTGTTTCCTGAGGCAAAATGTGATCTTTTTCCTTTTCAGTTTGCAAAGACAAAGAAAGATGTCAAAGGGCATTGCACTAGATACTTTACTTGCCCCTCCCCCCCACAGATTGTTTTTCTTCATGACCCTTCCAAGACTTTTGAAGCAAGACACTTTGTCAGTCAGTGAGAGGAGGCATGTGTACTTCCTTCCATTAAGCCAATCACACACCAGCTTTAAACCCTCATTGTCCAGTCTCATCACTGCAGCGTCTCGTTGTTTGAATGTAACGCAAACAGTGGCAGGAGGCTGCAGAACAGGAGTCACATACACAGATCAACATCAAAGAACATAAGAAGCCATTAGGAGGGAGAACGCTACCTAGTCCCACTTGTTAGGGTTCTTTTTTTCTTTTTTTGCTCCTTAGACCTGCAGCATGTGAAGGGTCCACGTCTTATTATCAACTTCTCCTTCTTTGTGAATGTAAGACTACCTCAGAACACGCATTGTTATTACACGGTTATACACATAATGAGGCGTTAGCAGACATAAAGAAAGAATCACTCAGATTCACATTGGTCTGGGTGAGTGACGGCCAGATCTGAAGTTGAAGCTAAATTCCGAAAGAGCACAATCGACACGGTTTGGGGACCTTTTGTTTTTAAGTTTTCCGCCCAGAATATATAAAATATGGATTGGACTGTTTAGAGATCACCAGCAAGGCGGGGCCTGAGCTTAAAAGATGTATTTCCATATAAACACGTAAAACTAGAAGGGTTTATTTGGAGGCTCCAACTTAATGGAAGTCTTGCAATTTTAAAATGCAATTACACACGCTTGATCTATTTCGGCTCTCGTAATTTATTTATGTAGAAGCTCTGCACGCAGATCATCGGGATTATCCTAAAAACGTACCAATACATAAATAAGTAAATAAATAATTACAAAGCTGTTTCTTTGCTTATGACCATCCATCCCATTGCCTCTATAATGCTGTTTGTAAGTACCCTGTAATCAGGCGTCGGCACGGTGCTTACTGAACTCTGTGAATATAATGGGAAGTTGACAAGCTTAGCAGGTGACAACGATTCATCACGCCCTTTAATTAAAAAGCGTTTGCATAAATAAGTTATACAACCTGCTTCTTGTTTTTGCACACACAACTCTCCGCCTTACATTAGTCGTTCACACGTTGCTCTGTTCTTATAGAGCACATGGGATGTCTTACGCAAAGTCAGTAGCACCGTATTGGTGTGATGTTAGGTGGTGGTGGTGGTGGGGGGGTAATCAGACATTCATGACATAACACAAAGCTGTTAACGTTTGGATCCTCCTGTCGCAACTCCGCCAGGATCCATTATTGTCACCCGAGCCGAAAAAGGCGGCAGGCGTAGGTGTGTGAAGGGAAGATGGAAGGAGAGAGGGGAAGGGAGGGTGTTGTGTTTCTTTGGAAGTTCAGTCCCTTTTTTCAGTGAGAGCTGTCAGTCTTTGATCACATGTTGAGGGTTTGGGCTTTTTTTTTTTTTTAAATCCAATCTGCACCAGTTTCACAAGCCCCTCATCTCCCATGCTCTCTGACAAGGAAAAACTGCACTTAATTTAAAAGTCTAAAAAGTCCCCTCCCTTTTTTTGTATGAGATATATTCTTTCAGTCAGCATTTTAAATATTTGTCTTTTTCATTTAGGTTTTATTTTTTTAAATGCCTACATATGTTTACGTTTACATGCCTGTAAAGTTGTGCCTGACTCTGGAGACACGAGACAAACACCCTGATTGTGTTTTTTGACCACAGATGATTTTTTTTTTTTGTTTCGTTTGGTTTTTTTTAGGTTTTAAATTTGTGCAAGCAATATGAAGTCATTTTTAATTAGTAATAAAATCAAAGGAAATATTATTTTGACTACAGAAACCACCAGCACGAGCTGTTGAATTACACTCTGGGCATTTATGCCATAATAAAATAACCAAGAACCCATCCCTAAACCCTCCCCATCCCTTAAGAGGCTTGTCAAGCTTTGCATTCCTGCACCTGCTGAAAGAACATGCAGTGAATGGGCTGTGGCTGTAGTGCTACTCAGCATTTAAACAGTTTGGCGTCCGCAGTTAGCAGCTTTATGAAATTTGGGTGAATTGCCACTCCAGAATCGGCAGTCAGTCAAACAGACCAAAATCATCCCAACCATGTGTTATGAACCTGCAGTCTCTTGGCTTTTGAAATGGTTGCTTCAAAGACAGGGGCCAAGTCTGCATCCACCTGCAGTTAGTTGCCATGTTCAAAGCAACTTGGTCTGTCAAAAACATGATAAAAAAATAAGAATCAGTCTGCTACCACTTTACAACCAGAATGCAACCAGTTGCCAACCAACTGAGACAAGTCTCCTATTGCAACGATGCACATTGCAGACAAGTTGCACTCATCAGAGCAGACCGACTCTTAATTGAGTCTGTCTGCTCACTACCAAATGTTTTAAGGTGTGTGTGTGTGTTTTTTTTTGTTGTTTTTTTTTAGCATAGTTACTGGAGATGATATTTGCTTATGTGATCTGTACATTGTTATTTAAGTTAGAAAACTGACGCCACTGAAGCCACTTCTGAGTTTGAGTGTTACATTTTTTTAATCACGAATGCAAAGCTTGACAGGCACAGCAGCAGTCAATAAGGTTGGGCAGGGGTGAGCGAGCAGTCAATATTTGTCCCATTTATTACCCATAACCTGACTTCTCACAACATTAAACTGCCTTATTGCACACATTCATATGGATATGAACACTGTAGGGGGTAAAAGCAATGTTGGTGGTGAACACCGATGCTCCAAGATAACAACAAATGTGGGGGTCGAAAGCCGCTGTAGTGTCTGTCAATATATTTGTGTGTGTGTGTGCGTGTGTGTGTCAAAGGCAGAGAGTAGGTAGGTTTGAGCCCCCCTCCGTTTCTGCTGTTATGCTATATGCAGTGTTTTCCCTTTAATAAGAGTCAGCTGCCTACACACACCTCTGCGAAGAGAGGTGAAATTAACAAACAAACACAGGAGCAAATTCAGTTGCAATCTGAAGTTTGACTCTCAACACACACACACACACACAAACATATCTCCATGGAGATGAACGCCTCAGCGGCATCAGGTTGAAACCCCTTTTTTCTATTAGCCCACACACACACACACACACACACACACGGCAAACTTCAAACACTCTTTGGAGCATCTTCAGGAGTGCGTCCTTAAGTAACATTTCCAGCTGCTTTCATTTCTCTTAGAGTAAAATCTGTCTATGAAAACCAAACTGAAGGAAAAAAGAAAAATCCTCCCTCATGTGTTTTGTCTCCAGAAAAAAAGAATCAAATAATACTAGAGCATGTGGGTGACAGGAGTAGCAGGTGTTGAATTTAAAAAATAAATGTGTACAGAGAAGATTTTGAAACAAAAATCTGTAAATAGAAAGTGTAAATAAATCCTATATATATGACATCACGCTGTACGTATGTGCCTGTTTTTTCCTCGAGCGTGCGCACGTGAGCAGAGAAATCGACTTGCTTTTTCTGAATATCGCACGTCCGACCGCGGTCAATTAAACTCGACGGGTTTTCCGTATTCCAGAGCGCTGTGCCTCCGCTGCCTCCTTGTAGCAGCACGTCTGCGATGTGTGTGTAATCTGTCTCCCGGCGAGTCCGGAATGAAGCTCTTTGCTGTGATGAAAACACAGAAATGATGCAGATGCTTTAAATCAAAGCCGCCGCTGCTGTTTGTTATATGTGTGTAATGAGCATGCTAGTACATTAGCCAGTGCCGCGAGAAGGCCGTGGCTAACAGCTGTGCTAATGTGCAGCATGTAATCATATTGGTTGCCTACACACACACACACATCTAAGAGGTACACACATACACTGCTTGTGTGGAGGAAATGGCAGCAGCAGCTCAGTTAATGAGACTTTGTCCCTTCCCTGTGTGTGTTTCAAGAGAAGGAAAGCAGCAGACACACAAAGACACGCAAAACAACAGCCAGACTGCTTTCAGTTGCAAACAGGAGAGCATACCTGTGCGTGTGTGTGTGTGTGTGTGTGTGTGTGTGTGTGTGTGTGTGTGTGTGTGTGTGTGGGGAGCAGCCCACAGTAGAAGCTCCCTCTTGCTCTCGTTAGGTTGACTGATGTTCACACAGGCAGCCAATTATGGAGTGCCGGTCACCGAGGACTTCAGTCACTTCATGGGAAATTAAAAATACATTAAAACCAACAATGGTCGCAGGAAGGCGCCCGGTCGTGCGTTCGCGCACACATTAGGGCAATAAGAGTGAACGGTGGGAGGAGGCGTGCCAGCAAAGAGCCAGCTGGAGCTCTCTCTCTGTAGCTAAAGAGATGTAGCGCAATTATTAGCATAATCAACTTTTCCTTCAGCTTTCCTTCTCACATATTGTGGCTGTTTTTCTTTTTTCTTTATTCGTACAGTATGTCACTATTATTATATCAGCATTTGCTGTTTTACCTCCCAAATCCTGGTTAACTCCCTCCACCCAATTTATAGTCCTGTAAAAAAGTATTTACCTGCATGAGTCCTTTTCATCAGGGGCTCACGCTGGCAAATGTTCCAGCACTCTGGGATCACTAAGGCAGAAATGTCAAGACTCCGATTTTGAAGTCGTGTCTAAAAATCTATTTCCTGATTCAATTTTTTTTGAAGAGCGGATCCGAGCAGCAACGGCATTACAGTCACACTATAGCATAAAGACGCAGATTGAGGATGACTCCGGAGAGGATTGTAGATGCACTGTGGAGGCACAAGGCAGCTGTGATGCAAATCAGCTTCAGTCTAAAGGGAGAGAACCAAATATGTCAGGCAGTTCACTAACTAACCTAGAAACAATAAAAAACACCCATAAAACAGCCATAAGAAAGTCATCAACAGTCTACCGAAAGTCAGTTATGTGTTTATTGCTAGTGTATAGGATTATCAACATTTTTTCTTCTTCAGTCACAGATGCTGAAAGCTTCAAGTAGAAATAAGCTGTGTCCCAAAACGTTGGCTGCATCCTCCGGAGGCCGCGTTTGAAGGCCGATTACGTCACAGCCAGGTGACGAAGGCTGTCCCAATTTGTCGACTCCTTGAAATGCGGCCGACAAATGCGTCCTTCATTTCCCCGAATTTGAAGGATGAGTCGGGTGTGTCCTTCACCATATCCCAGAATTCATAGCGCGGCCCAGCCAAATTTCAGCTGCCAACAATGGCGGCCGCTGCTAAGTTTTAAAATTTGTCTTATTACTCTTTCTGGGTCACAAAATAAACTTTTAACATATTTTCAGGCAAGAAAGTAGCTGTGTAAATTTCAAAGATCTGCTTGGTTTATCAAGACATCGCATATTTGCGAAAGTGCGCCGACGTTTTTGGAGACGTCTGTTAGCCACTCGCTCGATAGCAAGCCGGGGGGTTTAGTGGTCACTCGAGCCGGCGAGAGAAGCGGAATCGCGGCTTCATCGTTTTCAGGTCCGCTCTTTGCTACTCAGGTTAAACATGATATATAAGTCACTCGGACAACTTAAAAATGTAGTTGTTTGCCTTTTTTTTCTGTGTTTTATTTGTTCCGGAGTAAATCGGTTTGGCTGAGATCAAAGTTATTAGATTATTATATTAAATAAAACGTTATTAATCTATCTGGTGGGTTCCTCCGGGATTTTCTCAACAGCTGAATAAACGTCAAACAGAAAACTGATTAAACAGAAGTGTGAGACAGTCGAGAATTTACGCCAGTGTCCTGTTATATTTTAGATAGCAAGGAGCAGATGGCTGAGTTTATTAAACTCCACCGACACAGCGGTGACACAAATCTGAAGGCTAGACCGTCCCGTTTCACAGCCTCGCACTTCCGGCCTTCTCGGTCTTCGAAGGACCCAGCCCACGTAGACCGCGAAGGCCAGGTCCTCCGAACGATGCAGCCGACGTTTTGGGACACAGCTATGATCTCTCCAGTGAGAAGCAAAAATACATTCTATTGCCAAAAGTATTCACTCACAGGGTGGGGTCAGCACATGCTGAGGAGCGTGGTACGCAGAGGTCATCAACTTTCTGCAGTCAGTCAGTACAGACCTCCAAACTTCACATGGTCCTTGGATCAGCTCAAGAACTGCGCATAGAGAGGTTCATACAGTGGTTTTCCATGGCCCACCAGCTGCATCCAGGCTTTACATCACCAAGTGCACTGCAGAGTGTTGGATGCAGTGGTGTAAAGCACACCACAGGACTATGGACCATTGGAGACGTGAATAATCACACTTCTCTATCTGGCAATCTGATGGACGAGTCTGGGTTTGGGCGTTACCAGGAGAACAGTACTTATCTGACATTGCCAAATGTAAAGTTTGGTGGAGGTTATGGTATGGGGTTGTCTTTATGAAGTTGGGCTTGGTCCTGTAGTTCCTGTGAATGGAACTCCTAATGCCTCAGTACCAACACATTTTGGACAGTTTCATTTTGGTCCTTTCCTGTTCCAACGAGGTCCATCCACACATTGATGAGCAAGTTTGGTGTGGAAGAATTTGAGTG